GCCACCCTTAACTGTGCTGTTGAAGTTAAGGCAGGCACCTAAGCAAACCTATGTCTATGTGAGCACAGATTCACTTTTCATGTGACTAAATCTGGAAGGGCAGAAATCGTATTTTGGAAGGGCTAAAAACCACATGAACAGGAGGAAAGAAAAAAGTGGATGTATCTAAAACTTCCTAGTTCCATAAAACCTAACATTGCGGTCCCTTGCAGGCCCCTAGGGAGAGATTCAGACTGTCTGAATCGAGACAAATGGAATTAATGAATCTTTGACAGCAAATCTCCAGTGCAAAGTTACATGAGGCACTTAATTACCTTTTGAAGTGTTCAGGAGGTTCTTGGTTTGGATATGCAGGCATCTGCTTCCTAGCTAAGCACATAGAGAATACTTCCAGGAGGGGTAATCCATTAGATTTGTTCAGTCCTAACACTGCATTCAGTACAAACCACTGCAGTTGCCATTACCTTTCATTAAAAAACCTGGTACTGGGACTAACAAAGGCTGAAGTCCATTTGATTATGTTTTTTATGATTGATTGATCCCTAATTCATTTAGCATTAAGCTGCACTATGAGATGCTTAAACTGTTAGAGAAAACATCCAAATGTGTTGTGACTTTCTGGATGTCCTAATTTTGAGAAATACTTTGGTAGGATTTTGCACTTCAGAAAAGAAACAGCTGAGATTCTCTATTAAGGCTTGAATTGTTTCTCCCAAAAGTGAGCTCCTTCAGTAGAAATATGAGCAAAGGTTCTGCTCCTCCACTGCTTTGCAAAATGCCTAAAGGAGTAGTGATCTCAGGTAAGTATGGAATTGCCCAGTTCTTCTGACAGCTACTAGTAGCTGGAGGCACGAGAGAAATCAGTGATCAAAAAAGTTTGCCTTTCTTTAGAAACCACACAAAAGGAGTCAAGTAGCGATTCCTGTGCAGCAGCCAAATTGTTAAACTGCTTATCTGCTGCAGCTGTGCTTGGCCTCCTGGTACAAACATCTCTTTGCTTATTTCCCAGAGGGATGCAGAGCTGCACACCTGAGGGAGGTGCTAATCCCTGGGTGAATGTGTAAAATGGGGAAGTCATTGGGAACATCACTGAGATGGGGTAGTCCAGTAAGAAGGGAACTGGCCTGTGCAAAGAAATTGCAACTCTTGTCTCTGCATTTGGCAGAGTTAGGCAGAAGTAGGTTTTCTGAACGTTTGGTACCTCTGAGTATCTGCCATATCTGAGTTACACTGCCTGCACTGCTTGTTCTGTTAGGGCCAGAAGTTTGTTGGACTTTTTCTGTTGTTGTTTATTTTTTTAACAGGGATGATAGACATCACATTCAAATTTAATTCAAATTTACCCAGAATCCCTAGGCTAAGGGGGTCTTGGTGACAGTCTTCTCACACTCCCCTAGCTGCTGTCCAGAGTTTTGAAAACCTCGGGTGGGTTGGTAATGGTCACATACAACTTACTACTTGCTACTCTTGGACTAGAGTAAATCACAAGCTAATCATCTGTATTCAACACAAATACACTTACTACATAGAGTAAGTGACTTACACTTAAGGCACCTGTTTAACTGGTTTTATTCCCTCTCATGTTTCAAGCACTGAGTATCTGAAACTACAGAAGAAAAATGACTAGTCTTAGGAGGGTTCTAAATTTACAGAACTGCGGTGATATGTTTGGGTGCTTGCACGGCAAGTTCTCCTAGAAGAGCCTATTACTACTACCTAGCACCATTTTTTCATTAATATATTTATTCCTTTCAGGTACAGAAAGAAGCTTTGGAGTTGCTAAATTCTATATAACAAGAAGCAAGATAACAGGAATTCAGTGCCTCAAGTTTGAGCAGCATAGGAAAAAAAAAACCAACAATACTAGTGGTTTATCAAAGCTGTTAATAAAAGTATAACCTTAAACCTCCTATCCCTGTCTCGTTTCAATTCAGCTGTCAAGTAGATCTGTTTCATTACATGATCCTCTCTGTTGATTTACATGGGAATAAAGGGCTTAATGGAGAAGCAGGGTATAGATTGGAAGGAAAAGGCTGGGATGATGGTTGCACAGGTTTTTAATTAAGTTTTTTACACTGTTCAACTCTTAAGTTACCTATGAGGAATAATAGGAAACACAGCTAGCATAACATGCAAGAAAAGAAATACAAGGCCATGTTGTAATTCTAAACCTGCAATATTTTCTCAAGTATTCTCTGTGGGGTTCAGTGGCCTTCAGGAGTAATGCATGCTCAAATTACTAGATGCTCTGACAGCTTTCTCATTAAGCCTACAGAAGAAATCTCAATTCCAATACAGCAAAATGCTACTGTTTGGGGTTTTTTTAAAAGCAGAGCACTTTAAGCAAAAAGTAAAGTAGGGAACACTTGAGAAAATCCTTTTATAGGTGACATCAGCTTATGCAGTGAGAAGCTTTCTGTGAAATACAAATACTTATTTGCACACTGTGAATTCTGACGTTTTAGTGGCCACACAATGTTTGCTGGACGTAGGCAGTCCTTCCAGTAGAGTGCTGCCAGGAGGAATGCATACTCGCAGATCAAGAGAAGGGAACTACAACTGGGAAGCATGTAGACTCTGCTTGTAGAGAGAAAGTAAAACTTTCTTCTTGCTACTCTTTTAGCAGGACCTTTCACCAGAAAAATAACTTAGATTAAGTTAGATATCCAGCGTAGAAGATACCTGCAGGCTTTCCAAACCATATATTGTGATTACCCAACAGAAAAAAGAGCACCAAATAATGGAGAAAATGCTAAGCAATCAAATGTGGGTGGTATTGCCAGTAGAAAGTCTAAGAATATAGAACAAATTGACTATAAATACCTAGTGCTTGCTTTAATAGAAAAGGATATTGGAGTTTATAGGAGGAAGATGTAGTAGGGCATAAAATGCTTAGACTAACAAACCAATCCTGTGCCATGTCAGTAGTAAAATTCTAGAGCTGAGAGACGATCACGACTCTTAATTCTAGCCTCAGATCATGAAACCTTTAAAGATGGTTTTCTCCACTGTGGTAAAGTAATTCTTACTTTTCTTTTAGTAGAGCATCAAAATGAACTCTCTGATACATCAAAGTTTCAGGGTGGGTGACATATTAACGTTTCAGAGATTCTTAGAATTTTCTGCATTCACACATCACAGAAAAACATCTGTGATACACAAAACTGCTTCTAGTAGCTTTGTGGCAGAGGTACCTCACTTCTGTGCCTTCTCTGTCGCTGGGAACAGCAGTTGCCACACAGGAAGGCTGTCCAGGCACTGAGTAAAGTCTCTGGAGTGTTTAAAGAGCAGCTGAGCTGCCAAGAAAGGAGCAAACAGAACCGACAAACTACACAGCAGGTCCCTCAAGTAGTATTACCTCCCTGCTTCCCTTCTCTGATCTCCACTCACTCCCTTTCTTCACGGCCTTCTTCCCTCCTGCCAAGTGCAGCCAAATTACAGGGAATGCACATGGGAAAAGAAAACGTTACGCTGCAGTGTTACCGAAACTCCCCGAAGCCTAAGTTAACTGTACATGCACGCGCGCACACACACACGCACAGACAAGGATATAAATCATGGGTTGTGGTTTTTTTTCCTAAGAGCCGTGCTTTCAGTCAGCCTGTTGAAACTACTCAATAAATCATATGCATGTAACAGAAAGCCACTGAGTTTGGTTTTTTCTTTGCTTACTAACCCTCACCACCCACAGGAAGAACGACTGCAGTTACGAGACAGCTAAAGTTATCCATCAAAGCAATGAAGCAACACATTCTTGTGATGTGCTGTCTTTTTTATTATTATTATTTTGTTCACTTACTCACAGATTCACAAAATTCAGCAGTTGGTAGTGGGTCACCAAGTCATTCATTAGTGCAAATTCATGAAGTTCAGCTCTATGACATTTAGCCCTCTTAACTTTTAGGCAAGCCACACACAGTTCTGTTGCCCGGCCTTTGACATTTGGTTTTGGTTTTTTTGTTGTTTTTTTTTAAAGCTTCCATTCTAACCAGTGCAAGTTGTAACTGAAGTGGATTTGCACTTGAAGTTAATTTAGTGTGCTATTTATGAAAATTGTTTTGCAGAAGACATTTGGCATAGTGAAGCCTGCAAAGTGGTGGAGATTTCTGAAACTCTTAAAAGACATTCATGGGAGAGAGCAGTCTATCGGGCCTGTTGCGCTATCAGTGTCACCCAAGCTATGTACAGGTTAGCAGTAAGCTGTGCATATTTCATACAAAGCCTCAAGAGAATCCAGTATGTAGAAAAATAAAATTTTGGCAGAATTCAGTTGCTGTATTGGAAAGATACATGAATGGATACAGCTGGTTTTCCTGCATGTACACTTTTAACAGTGCAGTGTGACACATCACAGAAGTGGTTTTAATAATATTCTAAGAAATCATTTTCATGTGTGTACAAAATTCTGTATAAGTTAAATGTAATGGAATTTACATGTACTATTTAAAGCATAATACAAATGGTAATTTTAAACACGTGTTTACAATAGGGAAGCACAGTTTGCTGGAAGTAGCATCTAATATAATTCACATTAATAAGGTGTTAAATTTTAATTATTTTTTTAAACATGTGTTTGCAGTTCAGCAAATGCCCTCAATGCCAATAAAAATAATTTTAAAATGGCTTTATATTATTATGCACTTAGGACAAACTTGACCTACATAAAAGAATGACAAGTTTTAGAAATACTTACGTAATTCAGGTACATCTGAATTTCTGTAAGAACTTAAGAGGAATGAGAGTATTTAAAACTTAAGGATATTTTTATCTGTGCAAAGCTTACATAACTTTCATTTTATTTGGGACTACTAGATCCAATAACTGAAACTGAACATGAACAAGCAGCAGAGTTCACATTACCTTTTGTATATCCTTATAGCTCAGTTTACATAAATATACTCTACAGTTGTAAAAAGGGCATCAGTGATTGAAAATGGAAACAAAAAACAACAACAAAAAAGGAAACCTGTAAGACACCAGACCAAGGAGAGAATGTGTAGTATTTTCTCTTTTATTATTATTTTTTCTTTGAAGATTACCTAACATCCTCGTGGTAATAACCCAAGGTAATATGTAAACAAATTTCAATGCTGCTCAAATGAATTAAAATATTCTGTTCAGCTCCTACAGTAAGTCAGAACAGTGGCACCAATTCCTTTCAACATTAAATCACATTCATCTTATTGTACATGACTCTTGTTCAAGTAGTAAAGGCTTTATTCATGACCTTGGCTACATCAGTAGAGGGATATATCAGCTATTTATGGATTTTAAAAAAATTAAACTGACAGAACACATATTCTGTCGTCTCAAATACCAGCAGCATCTTTCTATATATTTAAGATACGTTTGGCCTAAGCCTTTAACACCTTTTAGAACAGCCATGCAATAAAACAAACTTGGAGATGTTTCTTAAGAGAGAACACAGAGCAGTTTAAACATTTTTCTGAAGAGTAAAGCCAAGATAAAGCAAATCCAGGCCCTTTAAAATGGCTGCAACTTTTCATACATTTAAAGCTCTATAAAACTAGAGCCCATTAGTATATATATTTATATTTTTTATATATATTTTAAATAAGTCTCTTGTCTGCTTTCAAAATTTATGAGGGGTTTTTCTGGTCTTTTGGAAGGGCAATAAATAAAAGTAGAAAAGGCTGAACTGTTTTGCATATCTTTGTGGAAGAACGGAGAACAATTATACTTTTAGAGTTCCAGAAAGATTACTGTACAGAACAAAAAAGCTTATATACAATTATGTGTGCAATTTTAGTTGGCTGGGCCTTTTATTATGCAATATCTCCTTTTGGACTAGAAACCACTTTTACTCTTGACCAAATCCCTCTGTTTCTTCAATGGCAAAGAGCAGCTTCTCTTTTAGTTGTTCATAGCTTTTATACGGTGGCAAATCCAAACGATTAAAACTGAGCAGAAAGAAACAAAATTTTGTTAAGTTTATCTAAATCCCATGCAGAACACTGTAGAACTCAATGGATGTAGCAGAAGTTAAAAATGTTCTGAACAATTAGAAATTACAAAACAGCAATCGGCACAATACTACTGCCTTGACATTTCTATGAGCAGTAAAAACAAAGTTTGAGAGGAATACGTGAAGAGACAAAAGACTTGTCACATCAGATAAAAAACACAACCTTCAAAGACTAAAGACAGGCCAAGATACAGAGGGCTAAAATACTCAGAATTGTACACCCTGAAGTTTAGCATCATCCTAGTTTGACATGTCTCCAAATTCCAGCAAGAGCATGAAAAAGCTGAATCTTTCTCCTTCCTATGCATGCCTGGATATGGGGAAGGGGCTGGCATCCCTCTCAGTTCTGCCTCAAAACACTTCTGCCAAAAATTCTCTCATCCCTTGTCTTCCCCAAAATTACACTAGACAAAAGAGAGACGTTTAACTCTTGCAATAGCCACATGAAAAAACAGCAGTGGTGGAAAAAGGGTAAAAATAGAGGAGTCCCGGAAATAGTTTTAAAGTATTATGAATGTTATTGTCACGATATTGCCAGAGGAAGGTGCGTCTGTTGTGCTCACAGTCTCTATGGAAACTTGATCCATGTACCTGTTCTGTCACACCACCTTGGCACAGGAATGCCAAGCCAGGGATAGTCTGAAGCCCATCAGGAAAAAGTATCTGCATTCTTGGCTGAGCATCCTTGCTTTGAACATTTGCTGTGATTTCTTTCATGCTACTTTTCCTCATGACTATACACTATAACACTATGGAAGATAAAAATGTAATAAATCTAACTACTAACTGTGTATACCCAATACCAACATGACTTCTGTTCAGTTATTTAATATTCTCTAAAATAAAAGATTGGAGAAACACCTCTTAGTTGTATGCAAGAAGGATCACATGATACTTTTGATAAGAACTGATGCTGACAAACTATGCACAGTGCAGTAGCACAATTTAAGAATAAGGCAACTGGGAAAGTTTTCCATACTGTCATGTCAGAGGAATCAAAGCAGCTGAAGATGGAGATAGAGAATTGATTCACATTAGATTTCATTTGATTTGGTCAGCACAAGACTAGAAGAGAGAACCACTAAAAGTACAGGAAGTTTACATACAACAACTCACCAAGTGTGACTTCTTGGTAACCAGGTTTCCTTCCCAACTTTTTCAATGCAGAATTTCTGAGGGCCATTGCTTCCTAGAAAAGATGATGTCCAAAAGTGTAATCTGTTTCTTTTAAGTAGCACACATGATACATATGTGATGTAAGACACAATTCAGATACAGCAGACGGAACTCATTAGGTGCTACTCAGTGTTACATGAATATGAACATTCTTCTCATAGAAACAAGTGAATCTTTTCTAAATTGTTCATGGGATTTCTGACACAAAAAACCCCTTCTAGATCCAAGCTGAAGTTCCTGCTACCTGTACACTTGCGGCACGGCTCATTTGCAAAAGGAACCGTTACAGTATAAAGGTTCTGGTTACCTTTTACTTACCCATAAGTTCAGCAAATCCACCCAGTGGCAATCTGCAAGTGCCAGTGACAAACTGCAGAAGTCGCATGCGAACCTCATTGTCTGTTTCTTTGACAAACTAGGCACAGAAATTCAAATTACTTAGTAAAAATCTTTAGCACATCAGGAGAAAAACAAAAACTGCACGAGACTGTTGAAAGAGTATAATTCCATTTAAAAGACACCACCTCGAGAAGAGTTTACCTTTCTTGATTTCAGTAAAATTGGATGGAGGAAGATGATAGCGATTTCAGATTATATGCACTGTTGACTATTACAGCGTGAAGGCTGGGAACAGCAAGTAAGAACAATCTTTTCCTATTTTATTCTACACTAAAATACAAATCATGCTTGTACTTTATGTGAAGACTACTGCATTCTGATTAAACACAGCAAGAGCCTAGCTACGGGCTTTGGGTATTTCAAGACTGAAGTAACTCCCTGCATGTGGCAGTCTCGGTGAGACAAAACAGCATCCATAACAGCTGCATCATTTTGTAAGGAAAGTCACTGGGAAAGAGAAGAGGAAGAAAAGAGAGGGTTGACAGAGAACATCTCAGTAAGAGGAGTCACTGATACAACTAGAATTTTGGCTCAGAAAAACCAAGATAACAAAATGGCTATTTTTGGTCTATAAAAGGTAAAATTATATCCAAGTTATCAGTTACTTGAATTTCTCGTTAAGATTCTGAAGATAGCATCCCTCCACTCCACACGTCATTTGCATTATAAAACAAAACAAAATCCAATTAAGTCAAAAATTTTACTGATCAACATACCTGCCAGAACCATATGATCTGCTTGCTATTCCTTGTGTAATGACGATAAACAGTGTTCCTCTGCCAGTCTGCTAAATCAACTTCTTGCATACCACAGAGCATAACCTAGAAAAGGGAATGCTTACTCGATGATATACATGTCTACATACATAAATTAAGAATTTTTTATGCTGTATGAGACACGCTAACAAAAAAGGAAGTTCTTGCTCCAAAAAAAGGACTGGTGATTTTTTCATCATACTTCACAGTTAGATTTTTCTCTATCCTAAGTTTACAGAACTCCTCCAAACTTCTCTATATATTTAAATGGTCAGAAAGCTTGCATACCAGAAACTTACACTTTTACAACTAATAATTCAATAATAAAAGACATTACCTTTCCCATAAAAATCTTGCCTCATAGTCCAAGATGATGACAATTACACTGCTGCTATCATTTCGTTTAACTTAAGAATCTTTCAGAGCACTGCTCATTATATACAGAGAACCTTGGCAGGTCTCAGAGAAATAAATAAGCGTAGCACTACACAACCTTTTATCCTGGCTTCAAATCACAACCCCAACAGTGCACACAGGTCAGGCTGATTGTTAAATAAACATCATGCAGGCAAACAATCCCTTTTATCAGCCCTTGGGTTACAGACTGAGGATCGGCAAAATTCAGTTTCAAACCGTGTGGGTTCCTCTAACGTTCTGTCCTTCAACATAGGTTCTAGAGTTGCTATCCTAGACTATGTATGTGAAATTAAGCAATCACTATACACCAGAATCAACTTCCGTGGCATCTGTTACACAGTAATTCCACTTATCTACCACAGAGGGAAAAGTTTGTTATGACCAACAGATTCATCTGTGACCTCATACTCTGATCCTTTCACAGAAACTTGCAAAACACACTTGAACACTGAGGACGGAATCTAAAATTCCCAGCTGCTGAACACTATAAGACACTGATGCAATAGATACTGAACCTTTTTTTTCCACAATGATTTATCCCCGTTGATTCTATTAAATTCTCCATGTTCCAGATGTTATCAAAATGCACAATGCCACAGATAAGAGATTCAAGCCAACTCAACCATTTAATCATTCCCCAGATGCGTTACCTTTGCAAAAGGTAAAATGTTGAACAGAAAAATCTCACCTCCAGCTCCTTTTCATCAAAATAGTGTAGCCACTGTAGAGGAACAACTTCATTAAAACCATCAAGAAAAGCTTTGGTTTGTTCTCTAACTCCCCGAGAAAATCGCCACTCAGCCATTAGCCTGGGATGGAAAAACACAAACATAAATTTCACACCAGCACTCACTATGAAGTTCAAACACGTAGGACTGTGTGTGTGTTCCCATGAGCTAAAACCTTCTCCAATTTTACTTTCTCTCACTGTATGATTCCACAGACTATAAAGGACCTACTTCTACTAATATGATCACAAATCTCCAAACTCATACAACAGTTAAAGTATCAGGACATACATAGATTACCATTCCAGCTTTTTTTTTTTTAAAAAAAAAACCAACACATTATTAACCTATCACTGATTACTATTCAGCAGTGTTTTCAGAAAAATAATGCTGCTCGGGCATTACAATTTTGTTATGGCAAAATTTGCTTTAGCTTAAGAAGTGCCTAATCCTAATTTTTCAATGGTAGAAAAATTTCCACTGATTTTAAAATATTCTGTTATTAAGCAAAAAACACCACATAGGCAGAGAAAAGAAGAAAATCTGTTGCTTATAATGCCTATAACTATGTTTGTCCAATACTTCCAGGAAAAGACTATTTCCAGCTTCACCAAGTAGTCATTTTCTGTTCTGAGCTTCTGATTTATGCTCAGATTTGGAGGAAGAGGAAACGAAAATGGTCAAGACACTTCTGAATACAAGACAATAAATACATATATATATACATACTACAGAAACTACTGAGAAACTAAAGACTGCTAATCACAGAATAGCCTAGGTTGGAAAGGACCTTAGAGATCATCTAATCCAACCTCCCTGCCATGGGCAGGGACACCTTTCACTAGACCAGGGTGCTCAAGGTCCCATCCAACCTGGTCTTGAACACCTCAGGGGACGGGGCAGCCACAACCTCTCTGGGAAATTTATTTCAGACTCTTGCCACTCTTGTACTGATGTACTTTCACTTACTAATGTAAGTAAAAACTTTACATGCAGCATTAGACATAGATTGTATCACATAAAAAGTATCTGTGTACATCTGCTTTTGAGATGACTCTGAATAGATGGATCAGAAATACTAGCTTAGAAAAAAGACAGGGAGTAATAAGATTAGGAGAGAAGCAGGAAAGAGCAGCATAATAGAACAAAGAGAAATAATTGCTTAAGTCCCACCCATATTATACACCATTCTGAACTTCAGTTTCCACAGCGACAGCAAAGCTCTGAACAATTTTCAAATCCTCTGTCAAATGCACGTCTTCCCTCCACCTGGATTGTTATCTGACATTACCAAAATCAAGTCTGCTCATTTTCATCTGTTTTCTCATTGCACATGTAAACAGGAAGACCACCTTCTCTCTAGTCGGTCTTTTTTTCCCCTCTTTTGCAGAGTGGGTGGGAGGGGTGAGTAGCGGGAAGAGGGGAATAGGAGAGACATCAAAACATATCAAGAGATCCCGTTATACAAGATACTATTTCAATAATGGTCCCAAGAAAGAAAGAAAACAAAAACAACAACAAAAAGCCCCAGAAAACACAAATCATATACGATATCAAAAAAGACTTAAGAAACAGAATATGGAATACTTCTTTTCAACATCTACATCTTCCTACCCAATATATTCTTCTTTGTTCTCCTCTGTTACCAAGATATTTGAACCTCCTGATTTCAGCTCATGTGAGGTTACTTTTCCTAAGAGCTCCATATCCACACAGAAGTACATTTCCAAATTACACTCTTCGATGTTATTATCCCTGAATGAAAAGAAAAAAAGCACAATGAATTCTATATATTAAAAGCCCCAAAACTATAAAACACTGCACACACACGTACACACAGAAATCAAAATCTACAAACCTTATCCAAATTAGGGAGTTGTAAAATTCAGTATCAATAGATTCTAGGTCCTTAATAGTAAGTTTTTTGCTCAGCATTCGTTTGTAGAAAGGCAAAGAAAACCCAGTGTCAATAAATTTCCCATGAAACAATGCCTGTTGAACAGAAAAAAGTCTTTTTAGCTTTAACTGAACTCCTGAATTATTGAAATTCTTTTGGACTTGAAGTCTTTTTTTTTTTCCTTTCTCCTTCAAATAATAAAAAAGCACCAAGCAGCAGTAGCAGCTTGGTATTTTAAAAGAACAGAACATTACATTAAATGGGAAGAAATAAAAAAAGGATTAATTGTCAAAATTTTCCATGTTATCATTACAATTTAGAAATTCTTTGATTAAAAAAGAAAACCTTCTTATAAAAGGGTGAAGTCTATGAAAAAACCAAATTACTAGGTTTCCTCTTTATTATGCGGATAGGTATCTGTATGCCAAGTGTTATTTGATCCTACTTGATCATAATAGTTGATCCTACTTTTGTACTACTACCATTTTTTACTACATACATACATACATCCTGCAAAATCATCTTTTATACAATGCTACTGAAGCTGGTAAAAAAAACAAAACCAACCAACCAACCTGCAATCACATACTGTTTTGGAAAAAGCTCTGGGAATCATATTTTTTATAGGTGTGCAACAGAACTGAGAAATGAGATTCTCCCTTCTACTGCAAAAATGAAATTGAAAAAAAAAACCCAACCCAAAACATGGTCACACTTGTCTCATCACACATGCACAAATCATGTAAGTTAATTTCTAGTACTAAAGCCAGCTTTACACACACACAAAGCCTTATCCTATGAAAACTTCTTTTTCCCCTCCTCATCTTTATCAAGTGCACTTTCTTCACTAAAATACCTCTTTAAAAAATCATCCTAAACATAGGCCACATATGGCATTCATTGCTTGTCTTACAGCTGAAATTCTATATGCAAAAGAGCCAATGTAACGACCTATTTCCTCTAGAAAAAGGCAAGGCTCCATCTTTTTTCCCCACATTCTAATCTCCCCCTGAAGGCTTACTCTGGCATGCATTTTCTTCTGCTTTAGGAGAGCTTAAAAAGGTTCTCTCAAAGGCATTTATGTATTTGTTTGTTTGTTTATTTTGAGACTAGTCTGTACTTCTCATGGGAGAGTAAGCTGATAGAAACAGAAAAATTAAGCATCAAGTGCAGCATCCAGCCATAAGAATTCCTGCTTTTGGCAAACGTAGGCTCATTCATCTCATTTAATGCCTAAAACAATATTACAGTAAAATATAAAATTTGCCTCAGCTTCATTTAACAGCTTTTTATTATAGGGTAAGATGTATATTTTTTTATGTCTAACCCTGTTTCAGTTGAAAGCGTGTGGTTATTCAGTACTTGTAACCAAAAGAAGGCATAACTATTTTAGAACTCTAAGAAGGACAGAAACTATAATTGCCCTTAAAAAGCCAACCTAGGCTCCTTAAAATGATTCCCACTTACATTATTACCTGAGCTATTTCAAGCCACTAAAGGGTATTCCCAGGAAGTACCATCCATTATAAACCCTTTAACATTAGGGACCATTACATGGGTCTGTCTCTGTCTCTCCCCCCTTAAAAGAATTAAAAAGAAAAACACAAAACTACTTCAGGAAAGAAAGGTTTATCTTTTAATTACAATAAATATTTAATCTTCTATGATCTCTACTTTTAGGAAGTAGTTTTCCTGAAGTTAACATTTCAGTTACAGATCTATCTTATACACAAGATCAAAAGTCACTGGCTAAAAGGAACAGGATTTGGGTCTAGCATCTAATTTGGCCTCATCAGGTCTTCCTGCTAAGTGCTATTATAGCTTGCTGAGGGTTCTAACAGAAAGAAAAAAGTTTGTGAAAGTATTAACCCAGTGAAATAAAGCACATGACAGCACAGAAGCGAGGAACTTGGCCTCAAAATCAGAGATGTTATCATCAAAACTGAACACATTTCTCAAGAAGCATCTATAAGAAAATCAAAACCAAGGAAACCCCCAAACCTAACTTAAGTCTGGAAGTACTTTTCCACTCACATTACACTTTGCTTGTATTTATTCTAATTTCATACAAGAAGACTGAACAGTAGGAGTAGATGACAGTCTCTTCAGTCTGAAAATGCACTTTCATCTACTCTTTTGGTTTCACTGTTCACATTCAGGGACGTTGCTGAGGGCATCATGATGATCATGTGGAAAGATGACTGTTTCACTGCATGGAAAGAAATGTGACGGAGCAGGAATCCGCTACAGAAAACTGACTCAGTGAGACCAGAAGAAGAAAGGACACAACATGTCTTGTCAGCTTTTAGTTCTAAGAGGAACCTGCTGATAGAGAATCAGCTCCCTGCCAGCTTCTGCACTCCTCAGTATCTGACCTTTGTATCCAAGTATATTTGTGTACTCCACAAAACATTTCTAACTCATTTTTTCAAATACAGTAAGGTATACAAAGTCTAACTGAGAAGCCTTTTTTAGAAAGTAATAGTCATTTTTCAGAGCATCAGTATTCAGATACTCAATCAAACAACAGTTTTTGCATGAAGTACACACATCGAATTGATAAAAATAAAATATTGAATGTCATACTAACTGTCATCACTACCCCAGGAATCTTGAGTGTGTAAGAAATTTAACTCTCAGGGAGTATTTCAGCTCAATAAGCTTGCATGCCTTAATCTTCCATTTCCATAAGATTAATTTAACCTTTTAGTAACTGTAAAAACAAATACTGTTCAGGAACAAATGTATAGCTACAGCATATAATAAAACCTTAAAAATCTAACCTACCATGGCAATAAAGCGCCCAATGAAACAGAAATATGAAAGATGGTCAGGATTGATTGTTGATGCTGGATTTATCTGCAGGCAATAGTTGCTCTTGCCAGCATATTCAAATAGGCAGTACATAGGGTTCAGTACTTCATGGGAAAGCAAGAAAAACCATTCTCTAAGGAAAAAAACACATGTATACACATAAAAACCATCAAATACAGATGTTTATCACCATTCCCCTTAGGTAACTAGCAAAATGATTGAAATATATGCAAACTTAGAAAAATAATATAAACAGTGTTGTATTAGAATCACAGAATAATATATGGTATTACATACTTCTTAAATATAAAAAATCATTATTAAAATCAACAAGGTTAGAAAGTCATGGCTTCCACAGTTTAAAAACGATTGTTAAGATTGTCACCTTGAACAACATTCATAGCACAGGTTTTAGCTGCATATTAGTAACATTTTTACCTACAGAGTCCTTTCCTCAACCAGTACTCAGTATTTATCCTCTGCATGCCTACTCTACTGCATACAACTCACATCTTCATTAAAAAAAAAAAAAAATCACAGATTATTCCAGGGGCAGTGCTTATTATAAACTACCTAGGCAAAACAAAGCAAAACAAACCAAAAAACCAAACCACAGCACACCTTATTTGCTTGCCTAGTCTGACAGCAGAACATACACTGAGTATCTGTAGTTTATTATCAGTTAAGCCCACAGGCTTAACATGACAATGTTAAAGCATTTTTGTTGAGGTTTAACTAACACGTTATCCATCACATTCACAGTCTCTAACTCAGCTGATCTGAAATAACTTAATAGAATCTGGTATTTCATTGTTAAGATAGCAGACTTTTAGAATATGTGTTGCTTTATAGCATTTGCATATAATCAGAGACCTCAGACTCAGTCATATATACTCAGGAGTGTTTTTATCAGGCCATAAATGCTTGGAACTGAACAACCAGGCTCAGAGAAAAGTCGCAACAAAAGCTAAAAGTCTATCCTAAACTAACTGCAGGGACTAAATTCCATCCCAACTGCCTTTCAGTTGCCACATTTAAGAGGAATCTTTCCCATCTCTATATTTACCTCAGATCAGGGAATAGAAATGAGAGGTTTGTTGCCACGTTTCTCTTAGCAGTGAAACTCAAGTCATGGATCATGATTTGATCACGCTTGATCACTACTTCAATACACTTTCAACCCAAAAGCCAAACAGAAAGAAAGGCAGCCAGGAGACAGTAACCCTAATAGGGCTGCACGTACCTTTTAATAAGCACAAGAATGTTGTGCAGCATTCTAAGAAAATTTTATACTGGGACAATTATATTAACACTGCATAGTAGCATCAAACTTAACAGGCATCTAAATTAGATCAAAGCCAGATACCAAGGGAGGAATCAAAAAGTCATCAACAAGAAGTTTGTAGAAACAATTAATTACTAGCCACAGGACACAGTGTCAGATTAATGCTGCTAAACCCCAGGTAAAAATGTGGAGGGAATGCTGAGTTTAGCCTAGTGAGAGACATGTGATAGATCAGGTGCATCAGCTTTCTATATCTGTATTAACGCAGCATTACATTAGCAAGTCAGTACATGAACATTTATTCAGTGTCACTTAAGAATTCTGAACTGAAGTTACAGATCCTTGCTGTTTCTCAATTTCACATATGAAATCTTCCACAAGATTTATTCCTAAAACTATGAATTACACTACTATTTGTTACTTATTTATTTATTCTGCTACTTTCTGTGACCAACATTCTTCAGTTAATTTGTTCTAACATCACTTCTTTGGAATACTTTGTTTCTCTTGAAGAGATTACTTGCACTTTTCTAGTTCGCAACCTATGCCTAGGGCCATCAATAGAAGGGCACCAACCAAACAAAACCCATGCAAAGCAAAAATGGGATTCCTCCCTGCAGTCACCCGTCCAAAAGACTATCAGATCTGTAATTCAGAAGCATAAATACTCACATATGCAAAGAAGCTCAGCCTTCAGAGGCAAGCTTCCTTACTTGAAAATACTACACATTTTCACTGAACTTCATTTTAACAAAGTAAGATACTCAAACCCAAAACAAAACCACAACAGAACACCTTTACATCAAAAAGAAGAAAAATTCTCTCGCCTATGACTACTTCTAACTCCCTGGATCGACAGTAGTACTGAAATCTTCATTTTAATTCTAACAGATCAGTCAGGTAACTGGCAGCAGTAGTCAGCGGCTGCCATCTATAAGATTACCAAATAAAATACGCTTTTTCTATGGTTTTCCTGTTACCAGATTTTTCCCTCCAAGTTCCACTTCAGATTCTAGAAAACCTCATAGTCTGGCTGTTTCACATTCCTGTGCAGCCTACACAGTCTGTTCATCTGCACGACTGCCCTACTCACCTCTTGCTCGCTACTTTTCTCTCTCTGTTTACATCAGCCTAATTTTGTTGTGCTTTTTTTTTTCCCCCCCAAAATAAGCAAAACACTGTTCTTCCACAGTCCCCACTTTCAGGAAAGTAGAATTTTCTGACAGAAAGTTTCTGAAATAACTCGGTCTACAGCAATTAACTGGCATTAAAAAAATGTACCATTTAAACATCAATTTGAACAACTCAAACCATAGTTTTACTAATGCAAGGTTATAACCCATAACAACAGTAAGTGCTGCCAGTTCCACCTCCTTAATACATTTAGGGGAACTAAAAAGCTAACCAGGGTCAGACTGCAAAAGCAAGTGGTTTCTTTGCCAACAGAATTACATTAGAAATCAAGGTTAGAGTGCTGTTAAAAAAATAACAACTATTTTAAACAAATTTTCTTTTACCTTGCCAAGCCACCATAATCCAATCCTTCTTCTCCTCTGAATATAACATATAATCTTCTCCTCAAATCGTAGGGTTTTAATGCCATAATCTATCAAAAAACCCAAAAACTGTAGTAAGTCGTAAATCACTGTCAACACAATTGCTCCTTCTTATTCAGGTTTTATTTAATTGACACAAAGGCCACATATGTTGAATGTTTACACAGAATTGACAAGCAATTAGACCATCTCGGGAAACATGCAATCAATGAACTTCAAACAAAAATACCAACTCAGACTGAAAGTTCTTGAGCAGCAGATTGCTAGCAAGGAGAGCATATCTGGCACTGTATGGTTGCCCTGGTCTTATACTCTTCCTAAGGTGTTTATTATGATTAAACCAAACAGGTAAAAAGGCATTTCATCCATTATATTGCAGATTTCTGGGTTTAGGCAGATCACTTAAAGTATTTTAATCCAAAATAAGTCTAACATACTTTCATTAATAATATACTCTTTTACTCATATAGAATCCTTTCCAAGGGGTTTAGATGTGGTGACAGCAGCAAGATTTTCCACTCTTACAGAGGAAGAAGGAAGACACATTGGCTGCAGACTGTAAGAGCCTCAATTACACAGATATAATGTCTGAAGGACAAAGCAGGACAGCAGCTTTAATTGCGGAAAACATCATTTTCGAATGTATGTAACTGCACAGAAGAATCAGAAAGGCAAACCCGATGTGGTTGTTAGTATGGAATGCAATGTGGTTAAGCTATGGAACTCTTTACCACAGGATGCTGAAGATGCAAAAAGTTCACTAGAGGAGCGCAGGCGAGCTCACAAAAGAGAAGTCCCTTGAGGATTATTAAAATACCCAGAAACCACATCAAGCTCAAGAAGCATTTCAACTGTAAACAGCTGGGAGCTGAAAGATCATTTGGTAAAAGTACTATATACATTACTCCTGTTCTTACAGTCCTTCCTAAGAATCCCCCTTTGGCTAATACCAGAGGAAGATTACTGTGCCTGGAGGACCATTAGTCTGAGCTGGCTATGGATGTTTTTGTTCTTTTGCTTTGTCTTCATAAACAAACACAAGAATCTTTGCAGGCTTACTTGCTGGAAGGAATCCTCAAACAAAGTCTGTCTGGATACATTGATTTTCACATGACTTGGCAGTGCATTGGACTGTAATCATAAGGCAATAAAGTCAAAAGTCGGCATGTATAAATGTATATTCAAATAGTTTCACCAAGTAAATAATTAATCGGTACCTGACATAAGTAACGGAAATGAGCAAGTTTCCACCTAAAGCTACGCTCATATGCAATCTGTGGCCCTTTATTTCTGTAAGAAAATATATTTAAGATTCATTAACCATAGAGACATCAAATAATAATTTCATTGCTAAACAACAGCATGTAGATTTCAAATACACAAAAACTGCCATCATAAGATACTACCAGAAACAAAATGGAAAGGATGGTTTGGTCAGCCAGTCTTCCTTCTCATGTCCTCCTCCCAACCCCCTCCCCACCTTCACTTTTTTGTTTGTTTGTTTCACGTGCTAGTCAATTTATCAAAGCTGAGAGAAAGGCAGAGATCTAGAGGATTTCAAAGCCCTACCAATCTTGTAAAAACCACAAGCCAGCTAACAGAGACACATCTAACCTGTGTTCTTCACTGAAAGACTGCTAAATTAGGCTTCATAAATTCAGCTGCATGTGGAACTAGGAAGGAGTTTCTAATACAATTCTCTATAGGTTCTTTGAATGAAAGGTCATCAACATGTTTTCAGACGTAAACCCTACCCTACCCTATACAAACCACAGCCATTAAGGCAGCCATCATAGGTTGGGTCAATAAGGAGAGGCTGGATGTGGCACTTAGCGCCATGGTCTGGCTGATGTAGTGGGTTTGGGTCAGAGGCTGGACTTGGTGATCTCAGAGGTATTTTCCAGCCTCAATAATTCAGTGATTCTGTAAATACTTCTGACTAAACTATGTCAAATCTGTGAAGAGTATTCAAAACTACTTTGTTTAGACATTAATGTTGCTAGAGGATGTATAACTATAAGCAATACTCATTAAAATCATTTGCCGTTTCTTTAAAAATTTAACTGCTAGTTACATCCGTTCAATATTCAAGTTTACCTCACTTCTCTAGTTAGAAAATATTTACAACCTGGGTATTTGAAAAGTGTATAAAAACTACTGACCCTTAGAGCAGTACAGCAAAGTGTGTCACAGGTACACTGACAATTAGAGCTTAAAAACAGATTAAATTTACAGAACAAAAATGTGTTTATAACGTAGTGCCAAATTACAGCTAAAAAGTATAGGTTGTTTTCTAGTATGAGAAGATTTCATTATTAAACTATGGTAAGTTACAAGATTAAAAAAATTATATTTAACTTGTCACTTACACAGAAGATTTCCCAGTGCGAGGATCATTGAAGGTGGTGGTTCTTGTGTTATGGTCAACAAAGTATCTGACACCTTCTCTGGTATATCTGATTTCCCAGCCCTCTGGAAGAGGGTCTTCATTTTGTAAACTGCAGAAGAAATTGCAGACAGTACTTTTTTCCCCCCCATATCCCGACATAAAAGAACTATGCAGTATCTTTTTATCCGCACAGTCAATATACACACCTACCCTTGAGTTCGAGGGTCTTCCCACTGTGTTGTCTTTGTGTTATGATTTACAAAATACACCCTATCATTTGAATCCACTCTCCTTTCTGGGGGAAAAAAGGGGAAAAAAAACCACTATATAACAATTGTATTCCAAATTTCCTGAAGTGTCGCTTTCTGAAACCAACAGCTAATTAACTTACCCCAACCTGGTGGTAAAGGCCCCAGTGGATCATTTTCTGCTGACAACATTGAAGCCTATTCAAAAACATAAGGTCACACAGTTAGGCCAAATACTATTCCTATTTTTTTTCCCTCATGTGCTTCAAGATTACCACTAGTTCTGAAGCCCATTTTGAAAAAAAAAAAAATCACACTATTTTTGGTGTGCTTTGGTACAAAAATAAGATACGATTTGTGCAACTGCCTCGGCTGTTTCCAACACAATGTACCATCCCTTTTGCTTCCTACAGCAAACTTGAGAGAGGGTCAGTGGTCTTAAAGATGTCCAGTTCACAGAAATTTTGAGGAAGCACATCTAAGAAGATAAGCACAATGTTCTTGCTTAAGAACATGCTTTACCATAATACACATTTCCAAGCACAGTGATTACTGCCAGCATAGGGGGTTTTTTTACCTCCTCAATATATCATGTTGGATGTTTGGTTATTTTCATCCTTTGTAACTCTTTGCAGCTGCATTCATTAGAACATGTGGATGATTAAAGCTACACCAACATACAACATGGTTCAAAATAAAAAAAAAAAGGTAAAAAAAACCCAATGATTAATTTATTATGTAAAACCATGCTAAGCTCGTAATACACTGTAACCTTGCAGAAGTTCGCTCCATCACTCTCAAGAATACAGAGTATGAAAAAAATAAATCGTAAAATGCAGAAGTCCCACGGACTGCAGGATCCATACTCTGATTAATAACTAAAAGCCTCCATCCCCTAAAATTTTTGAACATTAAAATTGTATTTATTTCTTCTTTTTTTTGTGCAGAATGAAATTTTGATATATGAGAACTATACTATAAGATACTATAGAGTATCTTAAGGATCACGTCGCTACTGTTTTACAGCATTGTAAATACTACAGCATTTGCAATCCAAAAATCTCATATCCACTTCAGAGTTTAAAACAGTAAATTCTGGCAAAAAAAAAAAAAAGCTATGATATTTTTCCTTTAAAGTAGAAACAGAGCTGGGATCAGAAGAAAATGCAACAGTTACACTCAAAATAAAGCTTCCGCTTTGTTCCATCATCAGCTACTAGACATGAATACAGAATTACCATCATCTCATCAGCCAATGCAGTTATCCTTTTCTGCTTTGGGTAACTATACAGTCACGATAACCTCGTAATCAAAAACTTCTCTGTATATAAAGAGTAGCATATGACAGAAAATGTTGTCTGCCAAAGAACTGAATGGTGGCACAATTCAGGGATTTCTGATCTTCTTAATGGGTCCAAGGATTTGTGTGGCTGCTGTCTAATGTATATTATTTAACAGAACATGCTGAAACAGGAGGCTGTGGTGTAGGACAAGCCAGATTCAATACCAAAATGAGTACGATGTATTAACCTAAATAAAAATAACTAAAGTAACTATACCCTATCTATCTTTCTACTTTCATATAGTTTAGCTTCAACTGTTCAAGATAACTGAAATGTTATCTTACTCATTAAAAGTATTAATTCACTTTTTCCCAAAAAAATAAATTACAATCTCACTTACAAACTGCTATATAGGCAGAGTCCTGGTATGTCACCAGAGGAAGACAAGTTAGCTGTAGTTTGACCTTAACAATTCCAGAAGATGAGTATTTTTTTCCTCTCAAGAAAATTTGAGTTCTAGGCATGCAACTGATCACTAGTTGGAAAACACAATTCTAAAGATGCAAACAGGCAAGTTAACTTTTCCTTCAAATATATTCTGTCTCACAGACAAATCCTAATTTAATGATTCTAAGGTCAGATGGGGCATTTTAAGAAATAAATCTGTCGTTTGCAGTATGAATTAATAAATGAAGAAATTAGCTTATTTTTTTTAAAAAAATACTGTTCCCTGAGAAAACAAATCTAGCAAAAAAAACCTCAGGATGAGGAAAAGTGAGAGTTTCCTCAGATGTTTAAGCAACTGATCAAAGTGGTACACAAACACACAAAGCTGCTCAGCAAGAGTTCCCGGCTTGATATATTTCAGCTGTGACTCTTGGATTTGGATTAAAAGTTACCAATGTTTATAAATACAGAAAAGGAGAACGCAAGAAGAACAGAGCCAGGCATTTTCCAGTGGTGCCCTGTGATAGGACCAGAGCCAATGAGCACACACTGAAACATGGGAGGTTCCCTTTGAACACCAGGAAGCACTTTTTCATGTGAGAGTGACCGAGCACTGCCACCGGTTGCCCAGGGAGGTTACAGGGTGTTCCTCAGAGATATGCCAAGCTGTCTGGCTGTGGCCCTGGGCAACTGGCTCCAGGTGGCCCTGTCTGAGTCAAGGGCTTGTGACCAGATAACCTTCAGAGATCCCTTCCAGCCCCAACCATTTTATCTTTCTCTAATTGCACAAGATGAACTGACTGACACACAGCTCCAGGAGTTAAGAAAGCCAGTGGTGATCCATTCTTCTGCCACTGCTAGTGATGAGATATAATGGCTAATTAGATAACGAGAGCCTGATAGCTCTTAAATCTAAGAACAGTGCAGCATCCTTTACTTCAGAGAGGTACCTGAATAAAGCCCATCAAATTCAAAGCACACTTTAGGTCTTCAGGTGCTTTAGTTTTACCTCTTACTGCTGTCATTCAAGTCGTAAGCATCATGCAGTACACAAAGCTCAAGTTAGGGAACAGAGTCAGAAGGGAGTACTTTTTGCCTTAAGAGATGATTTTTGTTTATACTTTTCAATAGAATCTGAATTACTAATGCTAAATGTCTTATAATACATACAGTTGAATAGTTTATAAAAATCACTTCAGCAAAAAAGATTCTATCGCTATTTGATCATTCTATGGTTCTATGAAAGTTAAAGAAAAAACCCTATACCTATACCTCTATATTAATTTCTAAATATTATATAAGAGTTACCGAATAGAGGTATCGTTGGTTAAATTGCTGCATAGCTCCCTGAAGTTGATTTCGCTGAGACTGCCATTGCTCAAAGTTCCTGACTGATTCCATTGTTGGTCGCTGCCACGTCGTGGTTCTGGTGTTGTGGTCCACATAGTAAACTCTCCCACGATCATCAACTCGTCTTTCCCAGCTTTCAAGATACACAAACGTTAACAGCTAAATTTTTCAGTAATACTATGTAACTGATTTTATGTTAAATTCCTTAAACGGTACTGGAATGAAGTACCAGAGTCACAGGCATGATTTTAATTTTTGAAGTACACAAACGTAGTCTCCAACTGTAGTGGTAGAAGGACAACTACACTGAGCAAACACAAAAGACTTCAAGCAATAGGATGCTCAGCTCTCTGTCACCTCCTTTTAAACTTGGTGAAAAGGAGGTGACAATAAGCAATGTTACAGAAAACACTTTGGAACCAGTGCACTCCCACCTATATAAAGGTGGTCAAACGTGCATTATTTAATGCTTAAGTTTTAAAGAAAGAACAAAATAATTTAGTACCAGTATATGAACAAGTGATCAGAACAAGTGACATCTACAGTACCAACACTCCTATAATGAGAACTGCAATTAATATAATTCTAAATTAACTGAAAGCGAGAATTTCTTCATATATCCTGTATAATACAGTTTTGATGAGCTGCTTATAAAAGCTGGTATCTTTCCTGCATCAACCAACCAACCAAATAGCATCATTATCACATTTAAATCAAAAAACTCTACACTACCCAGGAGGTAAGGGCTGTGGTCTCTCCCATGTTGTAGTTCGTGTGTTGTGATCAACATAATAGGTTCTACCATGAGGATCCTTTCTTTGCTCCCACCTTCAAGACAAAAAGATTTTCACATAAGTCAAGGTAAAAATGCTTCCTCAGGACTTATTTCCCACATAAGCCCAAAAAATACCTGAGATTAAATGAAAATACTGTGATACAAAACTCATTCTAAAACACCAAAGAAACTTCACACTAGACTACAAATCAGTTAATTCCTACTTGAACTGGTATCACCATAAAGTCTTCTTTAAGGGACTCGGTACATAAAATGAGCATATATCAATACTCACATGCATTTTCAAATTCTATTTAAGGTATCTGAAAACAAAGTCGATTCATTATTTGCTCAAGGCAAAAAATAACCTCATTCACTAAGTGCTTAAAGATGCATTCTTTGCATTTCCAAGTACACACCTCTCAAAAAAAAGAGAGACATCACATTTTCAAGCACAGTTCCCTATATCCAAACAACAGGATCTTCCAGAGTGAATCTGAAATGTGTGCTGACAGACACTTTTCCTGGTAAATTTTCTGTCTGGTATCCCTGGGAATTATATCTTCAGTTTAGCTGCAAAGTAAACTTACACTGAAGATGGAAAGAGGACCACACATTGTAAACAACTGAAGTTTCACACTACTGAGAACTGCCATAATGCCATAAAAGTAATTATAAATGGGAGAGGACACAAGGATAAATATTAGATGAAAAGCTGATGCCCTTGCTTCCATTCATAATTAGTAGCTCCTAAAAACACAGGCAGAACACTTTGTCTGCACTCATAAGATCTGATGTGCATTTCCTCACTATTACAGAGCATCCTATAAAACTACAAAAGATTTTTCCACATGTTGAGGTTAAATGCTAAAATTACAAGAAGGTAAGAGATGAGCATGAGCATATTAGATTTACTAGGGCTAAACATAGTGGAGGCTCCACTGGACTTGGGGAGACAAATTAAAAAACCACAATAAAACCCAACCAAAACAACCCAACAATTAAAAAACCCTACAACCAGAAAAAAACCTCACAGTGCGTGGAGGGGGGGATGACCAGAGGATTCATACCAATAAAAAGTGCCCATTGTCAAAGTATCTAAAACTTCGTAGCTCTTCCCCAGCATTATATATATACACACTATTTCTAACCCTTTAGATGCTTGTTTTCATGTTTATCCAACTGCAGAAACTCAAATAATTAATAATTTACTGAACTAATTAATAATTTACATTAATAATTTACTGAACCCCCTTCAGAGGAAGCAGGTACAAGACAGGCTTTTTGAAAGATCACCTACAGTGACACAGGGTATATAGAAACAATTTCTGTGTTCAGAACACCTGAACTATTTACTATTTAGCATATTATGGAAGCATCAGTACTTCCAGTTAGTTACTGAAGGTATCGTCTCACCCAAACATGAAAGCACCTATAAAAATATTAAGATCAACGTACATGAGCATGTAGTACATTTTCATGTAATGTCTATGTACACCTTTAATTTTCCATTGAAGGTTTAGGACTACAGACGTAATTTCTAATAGTCTAGTAGTATTAAAAAGTTTCTAGCTATTCTGAACAAATACATACACTTAAAATCTGCATTTTTATCTATCACATTCTTGATCTCATTTTTCTACAGCAAGCACCTACAAGTATTTCTAGACTATTTTATTAATTCTTCACTTTGCTATATTTCGGTCCTTACTACACGCTCACAGTTCAAGAACTGAAGGAATAACAGATTTTGACCCACGTAAGTGTGACTATATCAAATGAAAAGTCTTCACATCCATAATGCCCAAGAGTTTGTCTGTTTAGATTGCAATACTCTCTCAGCAAATCAGTTACCATTTGCTATTTTCTGGGACAAGAGCCACTAGCAAGTTACAGCAGCAGTACAAACCCCACTTCAGATCAAATAACCCCTCCCTCCGCCAACTGACCTGCATTTGGCATTCCCAGTAGAGAATTAAGTTTCTGTTTCTTTATATGCAACGTTCAGAGGAAACCTAATTACAGCATTAAAACCAAGCACATACCCTGGTGGCAAAGGTTCTGTACTGGCATTACCAGGCTGCTGTCTTACAGGTTCTGCAGATGCACTTGAGGTGGAGGAGGATTCCCTTGGTTTTGCTGCATCTGCTGCTACACTGTTCCTCACATTAGGCTGAACACAGTCTGTTGCAGCTGTAGGTTCTGGTCCAGCAGACACAACAGGTAACGCAGATGAGTGGCTTTCCAAACAACTAGTTGCTTCAGGTGCGGACTGAGGTTCTGCTGTGGTGTTAGTGCAATCTGAAGACATGGGAGTTTCGACTGAACCTATCGGTGCCTCAGAAACAGAAGAACTGCCAGCTTCTGGTGCAGAGACTGATGACTCACCATTAACTGAAAAATGGGAAAAAAAGAACATTTGTGTATCAGAATCTGATGAGATTTACTTTCCAAGCGACCACCTTTTGGACAAACGACACTGAAGGAATACATTTAAGTTGAATCTATATGCCGTAAGCAGCCTTTCCATCAAAGCTGACAAAAAGCTGTAATTAAAACTTATGGCCTGCAAGACATTCTCTAGACTCGCCTGCTAAGGCAATTTCTTAGTTTCTGCATACCTTGGTCAACCGAACACTACACCTTACTCTTCAGATTAGCAAAATGTACCCATTTGCTTCCCAGAAAACAGTGCTGCTTTATTTGCTTTGAAACTTTTTAACTTCTATCAACTTCAGAAGAGAATCTTGATCAATATGGTATGAAAGAAAAAAATAAGAAATAAATAACTCTGCGGGTTTTTTTTTCCTTTTTCAGAGTTGAGGTACAGAACCACACAAACAAAAAACACCGTGTGACTGGGAAAAAAAAATCCCTCTCCAAAAGCAGGATTATAATGTTAAAAAATAGTATTTGGCTAAAGTAACTTATGTAGTTCAATGCCCGAAAGCAATTATTTCTAAAAGACAGAAATTGATTTATTTTGTGATTCAAAGAACAATACAAATGTCATCCAACTCAAGCAAGAATTAATCTCATAAAAGGTTTAAAGCAGGCCCAGATTTAGCAGGAAAAGGGGGCTTAAGAAGGCTTTATTACTTCCAAGCCCACTTGGCCAACAATACATCAACACCAACAATCTGCGGAGCTTACAGAGCAGGACCTCAGATCTTGTCTTAGACACGTGAAACCACGTCGAGCAGTCAGTAGGGCCCCCATTAAAAGTCAAGGCCCTATTAAAAGCCGTGCAAAATAATTCATCTCCATTTTCTGTACTAGTCATCAACCCCAGACAGCGACAATTCTATTTAAACTCAGTCTGTACCTCTTCTAGACTGGGAACTATTTTTCTACAAGACTAAATATCCCATGCCACATAGACTTTAAATAATTTCCTATCTAGCAGCATATCATCAGATTACAACTCTAAGGACTGAGGCCAATACAATTGCTCGACATTCATAACCTTATTAATACAGATTTGGAAACTTCAGCCCTAGACTCATGCCTATAAAACACTGTTCCATCATTTTAGAGAGTTAATTTACTTTAATTCTGTATAACACTCTTCGAAATAAAAAAAAAAAGCCAGATTCTACTTATTATTTGAGATATAGATATAATGTCAGCAATTTCTTGCCTTCCCAGATGGTCAGAAAAGCATATAAAAAGTTACAAAAAATAAAACTGTCATGAGCAATGTATTTAAATTAGTGAGTCAGTTTCTTTAAGGAATTATCACTGGACCATAAATACTCTCTTGCCAGGCGTAATGATAAGCATGATTTTACAAGCAGCAGCAGATTTGTAACGTCTATAAAGGCATAATAAAATAACATATAATTACAGAAAACTTGATGAAGGTTTTTCAAACTTCTATCTTAACTAGCAACAATTTTACTTAAACATGAAAAAAGCAAACTGAACTTTCAGCTTTCATTAAGCAAAACTTCAATTCACTCACATGAAAGAGTGAATGAGATTGCATAACAAAGTTAGCAGCAAAATAATTGAAAAATCATCAGCTCTTTTAGTAAGCTGATCTCCAAAACAGATCTATAAAACATTACATCAGCCAATTACCTCACAAATGAGATCTAGAACAACAATTCTGGCAGTATCACATGAAATTACAAACCTGGTAAGCACCACAGTGGGGAGTGGGGGGAATAGTCTGTCATCAATACATGCTGGGCACCTGCTTTACGTCTTGCCTTAAGTTTTCATCAACTGGTAGGGTAGCTGAAAATTGTTATATCAGCGCCTCAGTTCAAACCCAGTGATGAATTCATCAGTGTTACTATTGGAACAATCAATTATTTTTGCAATTACCCTATCCTAATATAGATTTCAAATGGATCTCTCTGCTACTGAAGAAAAAAGGAGCAATGTCTACATAATATATATGCCCTCTGGCCTTCAACTGAAAAGAGAGGGGAATCAAATTCAAGTTCTCCAAATAGAGAAAAGCTTCAGAGAAGGTCTAATTTAATTATTGCCTTTTAAAGTTCATAATGGTTTCTGCTGTCTTACTACCATACCCACATTTCCCACTCCACAACAGAAAGTTTGACAGCCTCCGTTTTACTGTTTATTAACAGTTTGCCTATTTTTATTTAATGTTACCTTTTTACTCTACTATCACTGTAATCTCTCTCAAATAGCTGAGAACAGGCAGAAAGTGCTGAGAAAGCACAGTAATTATTAGATGCAAAGTTTTGCCAGAGGAACAAAAATTTAAGAGGAGTTTCTTTTCACTTGCTTAACTGTACTGAATGTTAGTTGTAGTCATAATGAAAGTTTTTGTGTTTGAGAAGAAAAAGATATCTCTTTTGAAACAACATACCTTTCGAAAAACAGAAGTCAAGGAGAGTGCATGCAACACAGAGAATTGTAGAATCATAGAACCACACAGAGCTAGGGGTTGGAAGGGACCTCTGGAGATCA